AAAAAAAAAAAAAAAAAAAAGATTAGGGGTGGCGAAGACGTTTCCCAGTGGTGGGACATGTGTGGGCACAAGTGTAAAGTAAGAAAGCACAGCACCAGTTTGGGACAGAGTGACTAGTGTGGTTCCACGAAGTAAAAGATGTAGAGGGAAGTGTGTGAGGCGGGAGCTGAGGCTGGGAGGTAATGCAGGAGAAACCAGGAGGTGAGGGGCATGAGTGCCAGTCTAAACAGCGTGGGTTTTTTCTTTTGGGTAGTGCAAGATCACGGGAGAATTGGCAGTACTTTAGAATGTTAGAGAGGAGGGTCCTAGGTAGCATGGAGCAGCAGGCATGCCCAGAATTGTCACAGTGAGTCTGGAGAGGGGCAGCTGGAGGACTACTGTGAGAGACTCTGTGAGATTCATCTGGTGGTGTTGATGTTGGCTGGTGTTCTGGCTCCAGTTCGTGCTGGTGCTGGTGTAGACATGTTTGATTTGAATCTTTTCCTAAGTAGGCCTCAGGGGCTTCAGGCTGAGGCTTGGTGTTCAGGGACAGCTCTGTAAATTGTGCCCCTGAGGATGCCCCGTGATTGGATCCTTGTCTGGAAGTGCGTGCTCTCACCTGAGCCAATCTCACCCTGCCCTGCCCCAGTGGGCTTCGAACATGGGACCCAACATGGGATCCTTTTATAGTATTTCCCCCATCAGCTCTGACAGCAGAAACCTTTGTGTGACAGCCTCAAGCCTGTGATGCCGTGTGGGGAGGATGTGCTGGGGGCCAGACCTGTCACCTCATTTAGGCCGAGGTGAGTGTTTCAGAATCCCTTGGCGCCCCTGCTTACGGGCCCCTCTGTAAAGTGCAGACAGTGGAGGACAGGGGTTGGGAGGTGGTTTTTCATTCCCGGAAGTCTTGGGCAAGCAAAATTCCCACGGAGAAGCATTTTCCCTCAGTCTTCACACCTTGAAACCCAGCAGGTTATGTTGTCCAAGAAGACGGCAATTGAATAAGACAGAACTGTAGCTTGGTAAGATGTGTTCATAGGGTGGGATGATCAATATCTCAGGGGGAAAGGGAAGATCAGGTTTGTTCTTTGCCAAAATTGCAGACTAGCAAAGCTTCTAGAAATAACAGCAACTTCTGATACGGTGGTTTCACATGACCGTCTTATTTTCCATTTTGTGCTTCTCCAGCAGGTTGTGAGAAAGAGGAGGAAAAGGAGCATGACCCCTGCTTGTCCTGTGAGGATTCGTATGTAGATGTGCAGACAGGTGAGGCGAGGTGCCCAGTCTCAAGGGAGGTAAAAGGCAGAGGAGAGGCTGGAACCCAGGTCTCTTGGCTCCAGGTTTGGAGTTTTCTCCACGCAGCAGCGGTATTGCCCCTGGACATAATTCCACCATTCTTTAGTAGCCCTCCTTGGATATTTGGCCTGCCAGTTTCTGAAAAAATATGTTGAGGGTGGTGGTGGTGGTGCATGCTGGATTGAGGGGACAGCAAAGGGGTAAATGACAGAAGCAGGTTGAAAATTGTTGCCTGCAGGTGAGCACAGTGTTCTTTCTCCCATTGCCCTGGAATCAAGAGACAATCATGATTGGCTGAGTGGGGTTTGGGAAGGGGCAGAGAAGATGGTAGCAGAAGAAGGGAACAGAGTGCCATCCAGGAGCTTAGTGAGGAGTCTGCCTTCTCTCTCCCCAGCTGGGCAGACTGTGTACACAGTATGGGGGGACCCCCCTGGGCAATGGATGGCCCTGCTAAACTGAAGGCTACCCTCATCCACTCGGGGTTACAGGATGTGTAGACCTCTTTGTGCTAGAATGGGTGCCATATTCTGGAATTTCCGATAGACACCTTCCAACTGTTGACAACATGTGTGTGCTCATCAGGCAAGAGGTCACAGCTACAGCAAAAATTCAGATGAGCTGGAAAAGGGTTCACCCCACTTGTCAAAGGTTCACCTCCCATTGACTGATGGTCTCCTGCAGAGGTCACTGTGGCTTTTTGATAAAGACGATCAGTGTTGGAGATCGGAGATGGCAGCAAAGCCCAGGTGAGTAGACTTGTGCTATAGAGGTGGAGTGAGGGGATCCCAGCTGAGATGGAGGCAGAGCAACCGTTCAGCATTTGGGGCTGCCTGGAGCACAGCAGCCTCTTTTATAAACTGAGGCATATGTATTTGCCTTCATGGCCTTTCTGATGTAGGGGAGGGAGTGGTTTTCAATTCCAGCAAAGATGCATTATGAGAATTAAATGAGTTCAGTCTTCCTCATTTATGTTACCACTTTTCAGATTTGGTGACCAAACCCAAGTTCATCCTTCATATTATTCTTCCAGATTTCATAGGCTCTACATATATTATCTGTTCTTTGTCGTGTGTGTACACGTACTCCCATGTTTCTGCCGTGTCGGGAGTCCAGGCTTCTCCCAGGGCTGTGGCCTTTCCTCCTGCTGCCTTCCTACTTTAGAATCCTTGGCAATGATTCACATGGATGGACCTTGAAAATATTACAGGAAGTGAAAGAAGTTAGACACGAAGGACAACTTATATGAAAAGTCCAGAACGGGCAGCTCCGCAGACCCAGGATGTAGATTGGATTGCCAGGGATTGCAGGGAGGAATGATGAAAATGTCCTTACATTGATTGTGGTGACAGAAGCACAGCTCTGTGAGGGTACTAAAAGCTATTAAGTGTACACTTCAAGGTGTTGGTTATGTGCTATTTGAATCACATGATATCACAAACCTGAAAAGGAAAAGCTTGGCAATACAGATGCAGCGAGTGGGCTGGACAGACTGTCCGTGTGCCATGACTACACAGAGGTGGGGGCAGGATGTGGGGAAGCTCTGCCCAGGAGCGGCTGATACAGAATCGTGACTCAGCTCACATGGGTTGAGATTAACTGAAGTCCTCAGGATTCTTTCAGTCCTTCCCTTTACTAGTTTTTTCTTCTGTTTTTCCTAGACCTCCCTCTTAGTCACTGGTAAGCACGTGGCCCCTTCTTGCCAGAGTCCAGGTCAACTCCTCTTTGTTATCTGAGAACATTAGACCTTGTCCCTGGAATCTGTCCATTTTCCTGGCCTTTGGTTTGCTTTCAGACTAATGGCCCAGGACAGATATCCTTTGAAAGAACTTTTCTGTTTCTTAATTTTTCCTGTGTTTCTGTGATTTCCCTGAAATCCGATTTCTTTGCATTTTTGTAAAACTGAGAGCCGTGCAAGGGCAGGCATTATTTATCATCTCCATGGACTGCATCTGTCACAGACCCTGCAGCTGAGCTGCCACTCAGTATGTGCTTGCCCCGGTGTGTGTCCCTCACCAGGCATAACCGCAATCAAACTCTCTCTTTATGTATATTTTTCCCTTTTAGAATAGTTCTGATTTCTTTCATATAAAAGCAACATTTCTTCATTGTAAAAAAAAAATCCAGACAAGATAGGCAATCATGAGGAGAATAAAGATCCTTTGGGGTGCCACCGTCAAATAATGATGAGTGTCAACAATCTGTTATATTTCCTTTTACTAATCTCAACATACACATATGTTTATATATTTTTTATTATCTTTTTAAGTATACATTTTGACTTATACCAAAAAATGTATGTAACATTTACCTAAAGTATAGAGCTTATAATACGTTGGACACCACTGAGCTCACCACCCAAATCCAAAATTGATGGTTTCCTAAGATGAGTTCTTCCCTTGGGCCATCCCCTACCTCCCTCTCCCAGAGGCTAAGCCCGTTCTGAATTTTGTGTTCATCATTCCCTTCCTTTTAAAAATAATATTTTAACACATGTTGGCAATGTCTAAACAGTCTATTATTTAGTTGTGTTTGTTTTTAAGCTTAAATTTTGCAAATTCTTGCTGTGTGTGGACCTCTAGGATTGCCCTTTTTTGTAACATTTTGAAGATTCATTCTCACTGGTGGTTGAACCGAAGTTCGTTCATTTCATGATGGCATAATGTTCCATTCTGTGATCAGATCACTGTTTATTCTCCTGTCTTTGGACACTCCGCACCCCATTTTTAACTCCTCCCTTCCTCCATTCTTTTCTTCCTTCCTCTAGTGAGCATTCTTTTTTTTTTTTGAGACAGAGTCTTACTATGTCGCCCTTGGTAGGGTACCATAGCGTCACAGCTCACAGCAATCTTCCATCTCTTGGGCTTAAGCGATTCTCTTGCCTCAGCCTTCTATGTACCTGGGACTACAAGATGCCTACCACAATGCCTGGCTATTTTTTTGTTGTAGTTGTTGTCGTTGTTTTAGCAGGCCCAGGCTGGGTTCGAACCCGCCAGCCTGGGTGTATGTGGCCGGTGCCCTACCCACTGAGCTACAGGCGCTGAGCCATGTGAGAATTCTTGTTTGCTTTCTGGGGCACATGTGCAAATTTCTCTACCCAGGAGTAGAAATGTTGGGTCACAGAACATATGAATGTTTACCTTTACAAGGAAATGATGACTTATTTTCCAAAGCAATTATATAAAATTGCACTCCCACCATCAATGTAAAAGGAGTTCTAAAAACAATTTAAAATAAATAAATAAAAATAAAAGGATTTCTGTGGACCTACATCCTTCTCACTACTTGTTATTGTCATGTTTCTATTTCATGCTCTAGGTTCGTATTTTTCTGGTGAATAGCACTGAGTACTCTCCTAGGCGTTATCTCCCCATGTTCCATTGGAGTCACTAAGCCAGCCCACCATGCCCATGGGGAATCAGACAGCAGCGGTGACTGAGTTTATCTTGCTGGGATTTGCCCTCAGCAGGGAGGTGGAGCTGCTGTTTCTGGTGCTCCTGCTGCCCACGTTCCTGCTGACTCTGCTGGGGAACCTGCTCATCATCTCCATCGTGCTGTTCTACTCCCGCCTCCACACCCCCATGTACTTCTTCCTGTGCAACCTCTCTGTCCTGGACACCCTCTTCACCTCAGTCATTTCTCCCAAAGTGTTAGTAAACTTAGCATCAGGGAATAAAACAATCTCCTTTGCCGGGTGCATCACCCAGTGCTATTTCTACTTCTTCCTGGGCACAGTTGAGTTTCTGCTGCTAACAGTCATGTCCTATGATCGCTATGCCGCCATCTGCGAACCCCTGCGCTACACTGTCATTATGAGACCTCCCGTCTGCATTGGCACCGTTATGTTCTCTTGGGTGGGAGGCTTCCTCTCGGTGCTCTTTCCTACTATCCTCATCTCCCAGCTGCCCTTCTGTGGTTCCAACGTCATTAACCACTTCTTCTGTGACAGCGGGCCCTTGCTGGCCCTGGCCTGTGCAGACACTAGTGCCATTGAGTTGATGGACTTTATGCTTTCGTCCATGGTCATCCTCTGCTGCATAGTCCTTGTGGCCTATTCCTATACGTTCATCATCTTGACGATAGTGCGCATTCCCTCTGCAAGTGGAAGGAAGAAGGCCTTTAACACTTGCGCCTCCCACCTGACCATCGTCATCATTTCTAGCGGCATCACTGTGTTTATCTATGTGACTCCATCCCAGAAAGAATATCTGGAGATCAACAAGATCCCTTCGGTACTGAGCAGTGTGGTGACTCCATTCCTCAACCCCTTTGTGTACACGCTGAGGAATGACACCGTGCTGGGGATCCTCAGGGATATGCGGGGCAGAGTTCGGGGAGTTTTAGCAAAGAGGATGAGGATGGTGGTGAGGAGCAGACTGTTCTCCAACAAAGAACACTAAGGAAGGGCTTCCTCTTTATCACCATAAATCTATTGTAAAAAGCCCCAGTATTAGAAAGAGAGGAACTGCTTTAGCAAAAGAGAGAGCTAGCTAGGGAATCCCGAGTAGTCCATAGTGGGAAGAAGGTGGAGACAGGGACTCTGAATCTGGACTTGGTTCTAAATTCGAATGTGGTCATGGTTGTGTCACAAACACTACAGCCCTCAGTGTTCTCATCTGAGGTAGGACAGGTCTTGACTGGATGATATGCAAGTCTCTTCCACAATAAATATTTTAAGAATTGCACAAGGGCTATGTAGCCTGTGTCCTATTAGAAGTCCTAACATCTTTGGCCTCATCACCTTATGGATCCTGGACATAACTTTTCTATCAGTTGGCCACAAACTCCTTCCTGAACCTGCTGCATGGGCCTTCCTTCATTCCATTGTCTCTAGGAATCTTTCTAGGAATTACCTTCATTATTTTCCAATTCACTATCATATTCTGTACTGTTTTTTCTAGTGGAGATTTGTAATGATTAAATAGTCTGTGTTATTTAATAATATTGTTTTCTAGAATAGAATATTTCCATAATATCCAACACATTCACATCCTTATGTAAGACATGGCCCTGTTCCCCTGGCCTCCAATGTTTGACGCATGGATAAATGATGTGACTGAAGCCACGGTCCATTGTCTGGCCATTGGCTGCAACAGATAAATTGTGCAGACAAGTATCTCTTTTTCTGAGAATTTGAACCAAGAGACACAAAGATGATACCAGACAATGGTGAAGCTCAAGTAGGATTGGCAGCTAGAGTGGCTATTTTGGGAGCCAGGTACAAACTGGTGAGTAATTAGAAGAAGCCGGCCTGCCCATCAGAGTGAATGAGTTGATGTGTAAGAAGAGACAGTTGACACCATCCTCAGCTGTAGGAACACAAAGTGAAAGGGCTTCCTTTCTAATGGCTTTCCACGCCAGAACAGGTGAAATTTTATTTTTATTTTTATTTTTTAGACAGAGACTTACTCTGTTATCCCATAGCTAGAGTGCCATGGCATCAGTCTACCTTGCAGCAACCTCAAACTCCTGGACTCAAGCAATCCTCCTATTATTAGTGATGGGTTCTTGCTCTTGCTCAGCCTGGTCTTGAACTCCTAAGCTGGACATAACTGTTCTATTAGTTGGCCACAAACTCTTTTCTGAACCCTGCTGCGTGGACCGTCTTTCCTTCCATTCTCTCTAGGAATCTTTCTAGGAATTACCTTCATTATTCTCCAATTCACTATCATATTCTGTATTGCTTGAGTCCAAACTCAAGAGAGTCCAAATCCCAGAGTACTGGAATTACAGGCATGAGCCATTGCATCTGGTCAACTGGTAGACTTTTAATTTCTATTCCTGGATTCTATGAGTTTTGCCTGCACCTGTAAGTCAAATCCCTTTTTATTGAGCTATATTGAGAAGGTCCTAGTTTCTTGTGGTCAAAAATCAGCTTGACCACAAAGTCCTTTCTCTCTCCACCAAGTGTAGCCCTTCCCCCTTTCTGGCCCCATAGAATTGGAAAGAGTCTGTTTTTAACCAAACTCAGGCTGAATTCTTAGTGCCCAAACACTGCCTGGAGTACTTACCTGGTATCCCTAGGCCTATGATTCAGCTCAGTGCAGATCAGATTGTCCACCCCATCAGAGTCTGTGAGCCTCATTTCCCCTTCCCCTCTGCTTCACACTCTGCAGCACTCACTTTGCCCAAAATAACCCCTGTGCTTCAGCACAGAACTGCGCAGAACCCACACACACCCAAGGGGAGGCTCTGGAGTTCTGTGGAGACAAATGAAGACCACTCAAATGAGAGCAGCTGGTTAGTCAGCTCTGGCTATCCCAGGGGAGTCAGCCACCATCACTTGAGTTTGGTAGAGACACAAAAGCAAACAGGGAAGTGGAAAAGCTTCATGGTAAAAAAAAAAAAGGGTGGGGGATGTCTTAGGTATGCTTGGCTGGAGGTTTTGAGATGGGGAAGCTGGAGGTGGGTTAACTAGAAGCGGGGCATCTTATGTGACTGGTTCGGGGAGCATGTTTGGCTTTCTCTGATTAGTCCTGGGTTGGAAAGATGTGGGAAAAGGGATGGAAATAAGGGAAAATACAGGGAAGCTGGTGGTCATGACAAAGTCTTGGCAGTTCTGGGCCAACTGCTTCAGAGGTTTGGTTGTGGTTTGGCTTTCCTGGCTGGTTGCTTCAGAGTTTGTGAGTCAGAGCTCTACGGCCATCTACGGTCTGGCTATTTCCCATTTTTAAATGTAGTCTCTTAATTCTAATAGCATCAAAAGTTATTATAACACTTATAAGTCTAAACCAAGAGACAATCCTTCCAAAGCAGACAATAAGATTTCTTGAGAACAGATGATGCAAGGTGAGCTCAGATAAGCAGAGTTTTGTTGGGGGGTTTTTAGGTCAAGAAAGGGGGCAGTAGAAACTGAGGAGGTCTTTCATGTGCCAAAGACCCTCTTCTTTGAAGGACCTCAAGTCCCTAGATTTAGATCCTTTGACTGGTGGGACTTGCCTGTCAAAGAGGCAACTCATGGCTGGTTGCAGTGGCTTATGTCTGTAATCCTAGCACTCTGGGAGGATGAGGTGGGAGGATCCCTTGAACTCAGGAGTTGCAGACCAGCCTGAGACACCTCTCCCCTGTCTCTACTAAAAATAGAAAACGTAGCCAAGCATTGTGGCATATTCCCCATGTTTCAGCTGCTTACTTGGGAGGTTGAGGCAGGAGGATCACTTGAGCACAGGAGTTTGAAGTTGCTGTGAGCTATGATGATGCCATGGCACTCTAGCCAGAGTGACAGAGTAAGACTGTCAAGATTTCACCAGCCCTTTGACAATGAAACTGGACTGTATTTTTAGCACACATATTTTGGTGTCTATCCAGAGAGGAAAGTTAAATTTAGCACACTTCCTGCTAGTCACTAAACAGTGCAGCCCCTCTTGGGCCTTAAGCTGAGTCACAGTCCTTTACGTCTATCTGTGAAATCTCTCCTTTTAGATTGCAGGCCTTTGAGGAACCCATGTTTATGGCTTAAATTGTCACCATAAATCTTCAGAGCCCACCAGGAATGGTGTCAACTGGGTGGTATGTTCATTGTTATTTCTTAGTCCCAGCCTGGGGAATGTTAGGAACACCCTTGTCAGATGGAGTGTTGCATGTGTGTGTGTGTGTGTGTGTGTGTGTGTGTACTGGAATGTGTGTGTGCTGGCGTGTGGCCATGCACATGGGCCCATTAGTATGCACAGGGCACTCTGGGTGACCTTTCTCAGATTCTTCTTGTACCTGATCCCGAGGAATGCATTTGCCCTGTGTTGAGTTTGGGAAAATAAGGTCAGCATGTTGTGCAGCCTCCCAGAGAAGCGATTCTGGAACAAACAGGATGGACTCTTTGGGCACAGGCTGTACTCCACATGGGCCTTCTGAGTCAGAGACATGGTGTTCTTTAGACCAGGGCCTGCAGACACGGGGTATCAGAATCTCCTAGGAATGTGTTTAAATGAAGATTTCATGGTCAGATTCCATCCAGATTTATTGAATCACACTCTGGGGACAACAGCACAGGAATTGAGGAATCTAAATGTTTTAAAAAAAATACACCCAGGTTTTTGCATTATGTCAGCAGGTGTGGTAACCACTGCCTCACTTGGCACATTCAGAGGGTGGTGGTGCCATTCAGTGTTGACGCTGGTGTTTTTAGATCTTACCTCCTAGAGATAGCTTGCATTTTCCTCCTATGTTCACTAGCCACTAGTCAAGTCCATTCCTAGTATCACTGGCCTGGACCACTGTAGCGCCTCAAAGATCCCCCTGCAGAGAAAGACTCATCCCCCTGCGGTCTACCACACAGAGAGCCAGAGTGGCTGTTCCAGTCTTGGTTTGATTCTGTCACGCTCTCCACCCCACCTTAACCTTTACTCCTTTCTTTCCATTGCTCTTTAACAGGAACACAACATTCTTCATGTGGCTGATCCTTACCCCAATCTTCCCAGATTCATCTCTCAGTTACTTCCTTGCTCTTCTCTCCAAAGACAGTCCTTCCTCCCCTTCCCCAGCTCTCTTCCCCTTCAGGGTCATCTGTCATCACTTCTGTTGGACACTTGTCCAACTCTATTGGGAGCTGTGTCTCTCCAGGTAGCCTGGATTTGCCCATAAAGGCAGGGACTGTGTGTTTCTTCACTGCTGCCCTAGAGCTTGGCATGTAGTAGGCTCTAAATGCCTTCTCTCCCCTCCTACAGCAGTCAGGGGAGACACAGGGTCCTAGGATGGATCAGAGCTTTGTAATTATACCCAGGAGCCATTCTGTCCATTTGTCCACCCACTTATTCATTCATCCATTGGAACATCTGGAGTATCATGTGCCATTTAGAGCAGGGGTTCTCAAACTTTTTAAACAGGGGGCCCGTTCACTGTCCCTCAGACCGTTGGAGGGCCGGACTGCGGGCCCCAGGATAAGTTGGCTAAGCAGGTCAGGCAGCGGTGGTAAAAACACCCAGCGGGCCAGATAAATGTCCTAGGCGGGCCACATGTGGCCTGTGGGCTGTAGTTTGAGGATGCCTGATTTAGAGCTATGGAACTCTGGGCCTTGCTAGACTTAGCCAGCACAGGTGGGCACAATTTTGAGCACTTGGGGTGTCTCACTTCCCTTGGCTTGATCAAAACAAACATTTATTGGACATGAACTATAGGTCAGACATGCCCCTTATCCTTACATGGCTAATGGTCTGGGGAGGAAAGAGATTTTAAACAAGGAATTACAAGTTTATGGGTTTTACAAAAGGGGCACCTGAGGTGGGGCCTGTAGCTCAGTGGGTAGAGTGCCGGCCACATACACGGAGACCTGAGAGGCTGGTGGGTTTGAACCTGGCCCAGACCAGCCAAACGATAACAACTGCAATTAAAAAAGAAAAAGCCAGGCATTGTAGCAGGTGCCTGTGGTCCCAGCTACTTGGGAGGCTGAGGCAAAAGGGGCAACTGAGCATGCCATGGAAATGTGGAACAGGGAGTCCAAGTCTAGGCTGGGGAGTCAGGGAAAGGCTTCCCACATGAGGAGTCTAAGCTGAGATCCAGAGGGTAAGCAGGAGTTAGAACAGGCTACAGGGAGCAGCAACTGAGCTTAGGAAGACCGGGGACTTAATGGCAGCAGGTAGCCCCCAGCATCCAGTTCTGCCCGATTCTCCTCTTTGGAATTAGGGCTTGACCCATCTATACCCTGGATCTGGGCTTTGGGCTGGGTCTAGAGGCCAACACTGAGCTGAAAGGAGAGGGAGTAGGGGGTTCTCAGGCACCTCTCAGGGTTCTTTTTAACTCAGGCATCACCGAAATTCCGGGCCAGTCAGCACTCATCAGAACAATGCTAAATCTCAGCACTGCTAGAAGTTTTAATTCATTTCTTTATTAATATAGAAAAGGAACCCAAGGCAGCTGGACCAGTAGTACAAAGCACCAGGAGTTAATGCTATTCTGGTGAAAAGGTTGGCTTTACAGAAGTGAAGAAGCAGGCAGGAGCTGCCCTGGGTCTGTGGCCAGGCCCAGCCTACTGCCCATGACCTCATAGCAGTCTCTGGAGCCTGCCCATGGACATAGGAGACCATGGGGACAGAGGGCCAGATGGTGGGAACCACGCTGTGGCTGACAAGGACAGGGAACTGGACCATAGGCAGGGGCTTACGGAGGGCCTCAGCTCTGGGGGCAGGTAGAAAAATGCAAATACTGGTGGGCATGGAGAGCCCAGACATGACCTGGGGGTGAAGGGCTCTTCCCTGCTCTCTCCACCAGAGGCCACCTTTGCTCTATACTACATGTGGGGCTTCAGGGCCCAAGGCACAGAGGGAGGCTCAGAGGCCTCTGGTTGGAAGGTGAGGCAAGCAAGGAGCACTAAGTTTTCCCAGCTCAGGCAGCCAGGGCTGAGAACAGGGAAGAAGAGCATCCCTGCAAATGGAACTAGAATGTGGGGCAAGGATGGGCTATCCTTAGCCAGTGAGTAGGACCAGCCCCATGGCAATGGTGCCTGCCTCGAAGTGTAAAAGCATGCAATAAGCTGTGGGTGTCCGAAGACCTGGGATCTAGCCTTAGATCTGCTGGACTCATACCACACAGAACTGTGTCACCATGGGCCAGCCGCGTCCTGTTTCATCTGTCAGTGAGGACTTTGGATATGACCTCTTAGGTCATGGAAAGGACTCGGCAGGTACAGGGAGCTCTAGGACCTGCTCTTGGTAGTTAAGTGGGAACCAGTCCCAGCCAGACCCTGGATGGAACTGGCATAGGATGGGGGTGAGGGAGTTTGGAGGAGGAAGATGTCCTTGCAGGGGACCTATCCCAACTAGAGCTAGGAAAGGTGACTGGGAACTCTCCTTTACCCAGAAGAAGAAAAGGCTGCACGGGAGGGAATGTGGCTCAGTGCAATCCTTCATAACCAACACTTGGGTAACACTTGGCATGGAGAGAATGGGTGACATTGTGCAGCCCTTTATGTTCTTCCCCAGGGTGGGGTGCTCAAGGCCTCTCGTGGCTCTGCCTCAAGCCCTTAGCATGGGGTCAGAAGTGCTCTTTTCCACTGTGGTCCCGTCCTGGGGACAGCCCAAGACTGCCAGGCTGGCACGTGTTAGTCGGTGAGGAAAGGACAGAGGGGTGAGTAAGCAGACAGGGAGGCGACAGTGACTCTCTGGCTTTCTCCTCTTCCTCTAGAGAGCAGCTCAATCCACCGAGTTGCAGATCTCTTCCACCACGGCATTGAAGATGTGTGGCTGGTCGGCATAGACGTGGTGTGATGCATCATTAATCTCCTGTGGAGAGAGGACCCACCAGGGGTGAGATGGCCCTTCAGTCACCATTTGTTTTCCCCTTACACTATTTGCTGTCACCCACAAGCTGTTATCAGGAACAATGCTCCACCCTTCTCCCTGGATCTTGGTACTTTCCTTTGGGAGCCAATGAATCCCAGTAGCCCATCCGACTTCTTCTATAGACATTCACTGTAACTTTCCTTCCATGTTAGCACCAGCACTGATGGGCTGGTTCCATGCAAAGGCCCAGAAGTGAGGGCCCAGGGGTGGCCCCTAGCCTAATTAAGCCTACTCACTGGCAAACAAGGGTGGGGAGCAGCAGGCAGAAGTGTGGTAGGAAGGCCTCAGGCTCTGGTACTGGGTGGGGATTACTAGAGGCAGCACGCACCTGGCTACTGGATAAGAACCTACCTTCAGCTGAAGTGGGCTACAAAGAAGTGGGGAGCCCCTTATTACTGATTACAAAGACAGACTTTCCAAACCCATTGTCCCCCCCATGGGGGACAGATGCCCAAATGGCCATCTGTCCATCTCTCTTTCTCCTGACCTCTGATCACCCTCCTCTACCCCAAGGCTGAGAACTGACTGACTGAGAGGCGACCAGTATGTGCTGGGATTCAATTCACAGCACTTCCTCCTCAACCCCTGCTCTGTGGGTAGCCAACGTACCAGGTCTCGGACATAGGAATCCGGCCGCTGCATCTTCACCTTTTTTCCTGTGCTGGTATCTATCCAAGTGTTGGCCCCATAGATCATGGTGATGGGCACATCCTTCCGAATCAAGTGAATACGCTCCAGCATGGGGCGCCGGGCCCAGCCGAAAGACTCCATCATGGCTTTGAATGCCGTCTCGCCACTGACAGAAGCAAACCAGGGTGAGGCAATTAACAGAATAAACACTGCAGCTGAAAATGTCAACTTGTGGTCCTCCAGAGGCGGGGGCAGTATTTCAGTCACCTTTGCATTCCTCTCAAAGGCCAGCACTGGGTTTATTCAATACTTGATAAGATTAGGAGATGATGCAAATGCCACAGGTCTCCTATCAGGGAAGACTTAGGAGGAACACACTTGTGAAAAACTCCAAGGCACTAAGAACTGTCCAAGAATGGAATGGAGTGGATTATTACTTATTATTACATATTCAGCAAATATGTATGTGCTACACCCTGGGCTGGGTGAGATGTGGCAGGATAGATGGGGTGCTGGCCCTCCCAGAGCTCACACTGTAGGTAAGCAGGCATTACACAGCTAATCATATGATTAATTATTTAACTTAAACTTTCCCAAGAAGGATGAAAGGGTGGTTGAGTGCTACAGGAACGTGGGCTGGGGACTCAGCCTACTGAGGTTAAGGGAGAGCGTCAAGAAATTCATTTGAGGTGAAATCTGAAGGGGGCATTAGGGTAGTAAAAAATGCGGCCTAAGATGACTATGGTATTAAAAACCAGTCTTACAAGGACCAGGGGAGCAACAGTTTTTGTTAAGTAAAAAGCAACAAATGCTGATTTAATCTACCTTACTCTCTGGTCATTTCCTCAGGTAGAATTAATTGAGGCCGTATCATGAGGTGTCTGCAAGGCTGTGACAGGAACCAGCTCTCTGGGCTGGTCTGTAGCTTCTGTGGGAGACAGGGGAGGTTGGGACGCTGCTACCTCCTAGGTTTGACCTGTTTGGGGTTGGTTACCTCTATACTTTCCTTTGCATCCCAGGGAAGAAGGGGAGCCCAAGTTCTGCCCAGGCCACCGAAATGGGTAATTTTTCCTGAAGACAATGCAGGACAGTGGAAAAGTCATGGAATTTGGAGTCAGAAAGACACAAATTCAAATCCTTGGCTATATTTTCTCAGCCAGTCATGTAACCAGGATAGAGCTTGACTTTCTCATTTACAAATTGGAGTACTATGCCCATTTTTTTTTTTTTTTTTGAGACAGAGCCTCAAGCTGTCACCCTGGGTATAGTGCTATGGCATCATAGCTCACAGCAACCTCCAACTCCTAGGCTCAAGCGATTCTCCTGCCTCTGCCTCCCAAGTAGCTGGGATTACAGGTGCCTCCCACAACGCCCTGCTATTTTTGGTTGCAGCCATTGTTGTTTGGTGGCCCAGGCTGGATTCGAACCTGCTAGCTCAGGTGTATGTGGCTGGCATCTTAGCCGCTTGAGCCACAGGTGCTGAGACACTATGCCCATTTTTTAAGGTCATGATTAGAAAAATGAAAGCATACTATACACAGGCAGTACTCATAGCTCAGTGGGTAGGGCACTGGCCACATATACCTAGGTTGGCGGGTTTGAACCTGGCCAGGGCCTGCTAAACAACAATGACAACTGCAACAACAAAAAAGATAGCCAGGTGTTGTGGCGGGGAACTGTAGTCCCAGCTACTTGAGATGCTGAGGCAAGAGAATCACTTAAGCCTGGGAGTTTGAGGTTCCTGTGAACTGTGACACCATGGCACTCTACTGAGGGTGACATAGTGAGACTCTGTCTCAAAAAAAGAAAACAAAACAAAACAAAAAACTATACACAAAGCCCCTAAGTTTGGGTGCACAGAAGTAGCACCTTTGGCCATGTTTCAAGTTTTCCAAGGGAATGATAGAAATTACCATGAGCTTATCAGGGTTACAACTCAAAAGAACCCAAGGGGTCAGAAAATAGAGCGATGGTATTTTGGGGGGGGGTCACTCATGTCACTTTTGCTTCCTCCTGGACATGATTGAGTTGAGGGAGTACACAGTCTAGCAGGGGTCCTCAAACTTTTTAAACAGGGGGCCAGTTCACTGTCCCTCAGACCATTGGAGGGCTGGACTGCAGGCCCCCAGGACGAGTCGGCTGCTAAGCAGGACAGGCAGCGGTGGCAGGCCAGATAAATGTCCTAGGCGGGCTGCATGTGGCTAATGCTCAGACAGTGCTGCTGGAATGCAAATCCCCACCTTCCTCACAGCTATGGCCCACAGCAGGTGATATGGATAAGCCCAGAAGGAGGTAGGGCAGTGACTTTGGCTTTCTGAGATGCCTACCAACAGCTCGGGGTGAGGCTCTCACAGAGGCGGTGCTGCCAATGTGGCCTCACACTATCAGCTACTCACAGGGCACTGCCGTAGAGGAAGATTACCTCCCCGACTGTGCCCTGGCCTTCAATGTTGCCAAGACTGCAGATTGGCAGGCTGTGGGGCCTGCTGTGTATGTAAGTAGCCACACATGGGAACTTTGCAATGTTCTAGAAAAACTCCTGAATCTCACAAAGATACAAAAGAATTTCTGTCCCAATGATAAATCATTTCAAAGTACACCTGATTCAGTTTTAAATTGGATGAGCAATTGTATATCTAGGAATGTGTTCTTTGGATACAATAACATGTATGCAAAGGAATATGTGCAAGGCCCTCTGAAGCAATGGCATATGATATCCCAGACTGGAAATAATAAGGAAATTTGGGGACTGCAGGTTTGAGACAAAAGATTTCTTTCTTTTCCTTTATAACCCCTCCCCCTGTGTTTATATCACCTTTTCAGTTAAAAAAAAATCTTTTAAAATGCTTTTCAGGCTGGGTGTGGTGGCTCATGTCTGTAATCCTAACACTCTGGAAGGCCCAGGTGGTTGGATTGCCTGAGTTCAGGAGTTCAAGACCAGCCTGAGCAAGAGTGAGACCTCATCTCTACTAAAAAGAGAAAAACTTGCCACGTGTTGTGGCAAGCACCTAGAGTCCCAGCTACTTGGGAGGCTGTGGCAAGAGGATCACTTGAGCCCAAGGGTTTGAGGTTGCTGTGAGCTATGATGCAACAGCACTCAACCCAGGGCACAGAATGAGACTCTATCTCAAATAAATAAATAAATAAGAAAAATAAAATGTTTTTCAGACTTTTGCTCATCAGGCCAACTGCCTATCTGTAAGGAAGGAAGAGCTTCCTCTAGAGATTGGCAACATGCTTAATTAATCTATTATCCTCTATATTCCTTTGTGTCTATCCCTCGGGAATTCCCTGGAAATGATCAAGCCTATTAGTGCCTATGTTCCCTAACTTAGCCAGAGCTTTGTGAAAAAAAAAAGTAAAGCACAGAACTCCAGCAGCTGGAGTTTTATATCCAAAGCACCCATCCCAAACTAGCCTGGGAGCTGCCCTCACCTGGGATTCTGTGCATTGCAGTGGTAGATATACTCTGATATGGTATCATCTTCAAAGAAGTCTGCAAACTTGCGCTTGAAGTCCGGCCGGAATCGCTGCACCAGGCCAGGCCCTGGGAAGGGATAAAAAAACCCAGAGTGGCCAAATCAGTTGTGGGTGTGGAGGGGGCAAGATTCCTGCCTTTGTATGTTTTAACAACTTTAACCAAATAATATTTCTCCTAATGGTTTGTTTGCTTTATACATTTAACATTACAGTGGCAGAAAGAGTGCAGGAGTCTATTGGGAAATTCCAGATGACTTCAAATGATACTTGGTTGCCAAAGAATTTAAAGACAGTCTAACATCACTGAGGAATCAGGTTATTTTCAGTTCAGTGAAGTCCCAAGATCTTTCCCTGCAAGGATCACAAGCCCTCTCCCTGAGTGCATAGTTGAGATGCTCTTCTTTCACAGTCTGTTCTTTCTCTCCCTGAAACCCTATGGCCTTCTAATCTTCTGAAGGTAGCAGATGAAACTAGACCACCTCCCAAGAGCCCTCTCATTTTCAAACCTGTAATAGAATACACGGGGAGGCGAACTTAACAACACTGGTGTCTCAGACTCAGAGTACTATTTTAGAACAATCTGTTCCTTTCACCTTTCTTTATGGTATATATATACAAGCAAAAACAGACTGTAAAAATTAGGCTTACTGGTTAACTTCTGATCTCTCTTCTGGTATTCTCTGTATAACCAGTAAGGGGGTGAGAGGGAGGTGAGAAGTGACTGGGGAGGTACAACCAAGATTTCCATGAGTGCTGGCCCTCCCTCTTGGCATAGCCCTCTCTAGGTGCCAGGCAACTGCCCCAACCATAATACCTCTGATGCCCTTCCAAGAACTGGCCAGATCCAAGGCCAGAAAACGAGAGGGTGGCTTGAGCAGGGCTTCTCCCTGGAAAGGACTATAGAGTCTATTGGAATTCACAGTGCAGGGAATCAGAAGGTTAGCTCTCTGCCTACTTTCTTTTCTTTGCCACCGGTGCTTCTTGCACGCCCTCCTTTCTCTCAGAACTCCTAAACTCCTACTCAAATGCTCATTTTCTCCCCTTTATCTGAAGCCATTTGGTTTTTCTTTAAGGGTCTAGGGAGAGAACTCTTCTTTAGCTATTAACAATAATAACTGGCTATCGGGGGAACAGGCGCGGTGGCTTACACCTGTAATCCTAGCACTCTCAGAGGCTGAGGTAGATGGATTGCTGGAGGTCAGGAGTTCAAGACCAGCCTGAGTAAGAGTGAGACTCTGGTCTCCACTAAAAGTGAAAAACTGAGGCAAGAGGATCACATGAGCCCAAGAGTTTGAGGTTGCTGTGAGCTATGATACCATAGCACTCGATCAAGGGTGCAAAGTGAGACTCTTTCTCAAAAAAGAAAAAAGTATATATATATGTACACATAAAAAAAAAAATTGGCTATTGAACACTACTATGTAAACATAAGCCATCAGTACAAGATAGGGGTCTCCAAGCTTTTCCATGAAGGAAGTCTACTTTTTACTTCATCAGAGTTGTAAGCTCTCTAGAAGAAAGAGAGCTGGCAATGTAAGGTCAGGAAGCCAAATCTACTGACCCTGTTCATTATGCTGGCTCCTCCCATCCCACTTTTCCCTCTCTTTTACCCACAGAATTTTCTGATGGCTACTAAGTACTAGATGACACAGGGCAGGTGAAGATAAGGTGCTTGCCTGAAGCAGTGCACAGTTCAGAGGGGCTTGTGGGCCATGGTGGGTTATGCTGGAGGCTCTGGTCCTGCCCCTGCCCCTGCCAGCTGTGGGTGCTGGGTAACCCACAGGGTTGGGATCCAGTGGTGGTTACTATGCCTGAATCACCAATAGATTGTCATAAAGACTCATGCATGTAGCAGAGGAGGACTTGTTTCACAGTTCCCCCTCTCCCTGGGGATATAGCCAAGGTACAGGGTAGCTGCTCTGTTCCGTCTGTCCCTTGTATAGGAAAGCTTTTTCTATGCAGATGAAGGGGGGGAAAGAACCTTCTGAAACCTCAAACAAAGAGATCTGGTTCAGAGTAATAGCTTTAAATCATAATGCTAGACCCATTCTCACTTTTTATGAGTAAGTGGGACAAACAGTGAGGTTTCTAGAATGGGATAGGCTTGTTATAAGGGGATAGTTTCTTCATCTGCAGGCTACTCACCCCAGGGCCCCGCTACTCGAAGAACAGCCAAAGGATTGGAACGCCCTAGGACAGACGCCACGGCCTTGAGCCATGTTGGGGGAGCTCGGATCTCACTGGGGTCGGTCGGTCGAAGGGGAAAGCCCCATGGGTCCACCAGGATGAGGTGTTTTACTCTACATTAAAGGAGGAGAGAGGAGAAGACACACTGTATTCTCTTGGAAGCACCAGAGCCCTTCAATCACCTGGGAAGGAGAGAATTACTGGAAAAGAACATTAGAAAGTTCCTAGCAAGGTAAGGAGTTAGGGTACTCTATCATTACCTTTCAGGGTACTTGATAGAGTAAGAAGTGGCCAGGAATCCTCCCAAACTGTGCCCCAAAAGAATCATGCTGGGGATCCCCATGGTCTCCCGCCACGTCTCTATTGAGGTCACAAACTCGTCCTCAGCTCCCTCTGGGTCCCTTGGAAACGTCGGTCTTGAGCTTCGCCCAAAGCCAAGCAGATCAAAGGTATGCAGTGTTCGGCGGGTACTCAGTGAATCCATGTTGAGGATCCAGAGGCCCACGCCGCCCCCAAAGCCATGCACCATCACCAGGGGGGTGCGGCCCTTTTGCTCAGGGCTCACAGTCACCGTCCAGATCTTGTTCTGGTTTGGAAGGGACACGTATCTGGCCAGGAACTTGTTCTGGAGACCTGGGGAGGGGAAGAATCCAATAAGACCACTTCCTGACATGCTGTCCAGATGGCCCATGACCACCACACTTCATATCTCTCTCCAGTGCCAGCCCCCCCTAAGCTCCCTCAGGTCTTTCCTCCACAACTCTGATCTCTGACACAGACTCTCTCCTTCACCAAAATTAAGGAAAGCTCTTCTGAGCTCTCTTCTTGACTGGGCCTGGCCCCTGGCCCCAGCCTGCCTGTAGCCTGCCTAGCCCAGTCTTAGCAAGAATCCCCTAACCAGTCATTCCTGACCACGCTTCTTCTCCCCCAGCCTTGAGGCCTGGGATGAGGAGACACAGAGACACTCACTGGCAACATGAGAAGGAAACCTTACAGCTCTCAGCCTTGTTGACAGTTACCAGAGGTATCAGGAGGCAGGCTGTGTCCCAGCCTTAGGAGACCTGCCCATTATGGCAGTTAGGAATCCCTACTTGTCTTGTATAGACAGTTATTCTTCTTGGGTAAATGGTTATTAGCAAGAATCCCCTTATCCTTGATGTCTTCTCTAGTACTTCTCCATCCACAGACCTCGTCACCTTGTTCCTTGGTTATAAATCCCTACTTGTCTTTGTTGTATTTAGAGTTGAGCCCCATTTCTCTCTCCTATTGCATCAGTATTGAATAACTTTGGTAAGAACCAACTTAATGTGTGAGAATATTTTTTCCTGTGAAAGAAAACTACATATTGTGTGTTAAACTACACATTCTAGAGAATTCAACTCCAAGCACAATTTGTAGATTGATCTGTAGGTATTAGAGGCTATCTTATTCCTGGAGGCTATTTGCCCAGCTCCCTTTGGGCCCAGGGTGGCAGTGACACCTTGTATCCAACACTCTTGAACCTGTGTGTGCTTGAAGCTTGATAGGTGGACAGTACTATGGTCCAGCCAGGGGGAGGGGGTGATGGATTTGGGCTGGGCCTTGAACTTATTCCTTTTAGAGACTGAGGTGGGGAGGGCTTGCTTTGCTGGTGTGATGGAAGAGCTGCCTAGATCCTGGATGGAGGCTTGAAAGCTATGGCTGCTCTGACTTAGGACCATTAAGAGTGAGCATGGCCATGGCTGGGGCAGTGTGGCAGGTTGGGGAAGATCATATGGGAAATAAGGGGAGACATAGCCCAAAGGTCTTTTTTGAGCTAGTGCTGCTACTTCTCATGAGATGCCCTGCTCCCAGGTAATAGCGCTGGTTTGCAAATCCCAAACTACTATAGTGACCAGGCAGGAGGTAGGCCCAAACCAGCTAGGACACAGGGTATATTAGAGAATGTAGGATTGCTGGTCCTCGGGTAGGCAGATGGTAAATCTAAGAAGTGCTTGTGTGTTTAGAACAGAGAGGGAGAGAAAAAAGGAGAGAGGAATGGGGGAGAAGAAAGGAGGGAGGGCGAAGATGTGTATGTCTGTGTGTGCTAACCCACATAGGGTTTGAAGTGAAACTATAGGATGTGGCAGGAAGTGGCATATGGCTAGGAAGGAGGCGGGAAACCACTATCACAGAATATTGTGCCCTCTTATGAATCTCTTCCCCTCAAATCACTGACATCCTTCCCTCTCATTAAAAGCACCATTAGTCAGGAAATCAGTGGCCTCAATATACCCTTCTGTGTATATCCTGTACCCCTCTTGGGTCCCCTGAGAGAAGTGGGACAACCTATCCCTTCTACTTACACTGGAGGATCCTGGCTTCCACATTTTTCAGCTGAGACATGGAAGTGGGGCGCCAAGTAGGCAGCCAGCTACTCAGCCAGCCTTGAGGCCTGGGATGAGGAGACACAGACAACATTGGCAACATTGAAAAGGAAACATTGATGCTATTAGCTTTGCTCACAGTTACAAGAGTTACCAAGAGGCAGGCTGTTTCCCAGCCCCGGGAGACCTGTCTAGGGTGGCAGTCAGCAATTCCTACTAGCTACCTTAAGACAGATGGTTACTTTTCGTGGGTAAATGGTTATTAACAGCATGCCCTTGTTGCAATAGATATTCAGAATGTAATAGGTGTAATACTTTACAGTTTACAAAGCTCTTTTGCATTTATTATCTCATTTGAGCTTTACAACTTGCCTTTGTTACTGGTTATCATAATTTATGTTCAAAGAGATTAAAAGGAGAGGAAAAGCAATTAATGTTTCAGTTAGTCTGTCATCCCCAGGACTAGCTGTTCTTTTAGGGTGGGACAGACAAACTCCCATGCCACCTCCCTCCTGGTAGGGCACCCTCTTTCAAGCCCTTTGAAATACAGAGCACCACTGGGTTAGTGCCTAACTACCTGCGCTCTCAGGTAATCAATTCATTCAGCCCTGAACATGGAGATGGGGAAGGCAGGGAGCAGGAGGCAGAACACTTGGGTTCAAGAACTGACAAATTCACTGACGGGACACAGGTTGTCTCTGGCTTGTTTTCCAGATTATAAAATGAGTAGTGGAAAGCTCACCTATGCCCTCAATTCCCACAATATGCAGTAAAATAGACCCATCCTGCTTTCTCCTTCATACCCAGTGACTGTAAGTCATTGAAAGACAGAGGTTAAAAGCATCAGCTTTGGAATAAAAAAAAAAAAATCTCCTGGATTTGAATCACAGCACTATCTATGATGAGTAGAATGGCTTTGTACCAATAAATAACCTCTCTTTAACCATCTGGATATGTAAGGGACCTTGTAGGGTGCCCAGTACAAATTAGATGCTCAGTGAATACAGTTTTTATTATTATTTTTTTCCATCCTACATCCTATTTCTCTGTTCTTGAACTCTGCTTGGATGAAGGGGGTTTCAGGACAGACATCAACAGCCATAGGAAACACCAGCATAGTGAAGGCGGGATATTTTGTGTGGGAACAGAATCATCACTAAACCTCCTGGGCTTCCTAATATGTCATTTGAAGTACAGAATTTTAGATAGGATGTGTGGCTTCTTTATTTTACAAATAAGCAAACTAATGCCCAGAGAAAGAACAGAACCAGAACCCAGATCTCAAATCCAGATTTCTCAGTACCTCCTCCATGGACTGTCTAGCTTCAGCTTTTCAAGGCCATACATAAATACTCAGAGTATATAACCACATTTTCACACTTATCTCTGTTTTCTGAAAGGAGGTTGTGATCTAAAGTCAGAGTTCTAATTTTAGCACTGCCACTTACCAACACTGTGATTGGGGGTACATTATTTAGCCTTTCTGTGTCAGAGCCGCCTCATCTTTAAAAGGGAGGTGGTAATACTATATACCTCAGAGGGTTGTTATAAGGATTCAACGAGCACATCTAAAGTACACGGAACAATGCCTAGCATAAGACGAACACCCAATAAACCTTCTTTCCCCTCAGCTAAATTACAAACTCTCTACATTCCCAATGTTTTGCAAGTAGCAACTCTCAGTGAATGTCTGAAGTTTGAAAGAAAACCTGGGGTTACGGCTGGGAGTGGTACCTTGGTGGCTTTAGCCAAATGAGAGTTCTGTCAGTCTCAAATCAATCTAATCCCAGAGAAATTCAGAACCCTTTTCATATTCTACTGGAATCTCTTGTTGGCTTGAAGTATAGGGACCAAGACCTGGAGTTGGAATTTTGCCAGTCTTAAGAGACAAACTTTCTAAGTCATAGATACTGTGACAATGTTATCATAACATTGCCCTGTAACTGTCCAGTGCAGAGCTCGGGAGAAATGCTGTCTCATGGAACAGGACCATGGGCTGCTCAGCAGATATGCCTTGAGTGGGGTGGGGGGGGGGAGATGTACTTTGCTGGTTTTCTCCAAATATGTCACAGGTGAAGCACTGGAAATGGTGCCTGGCACACACTGTATGCTCAGTATTGGGGAGCAAAGGGCAGGAGTGGGAAATTGAGGCAAGGAGCAGAGAAGCCACTTAGCCATGAACTTAGCTTGGCTAGGATGGTCTCTTCCATTCTGATGGGGGTGAAGCAGAAGGGGCTCTGTGCTGGGAGAAGATCCTGTTCTAGACCTATGTGATCTTGGGTAAGACTCCTAATTTCTATGGATATTGGCTTCTTCATTTGTAAAAAGGAGCTTAACCACCTGGATCTCTTCCAGCTCCAATATTCTGCCTCCAGTCATTTTAGGTGTTGTAAATTTCCTCTTGGAAAAGTTTTCTTAGAAAGCAACATTCTCCTGGGCAGTTCCTTCAAGCCCAGGAAGCTATTTATAAATTGTCATAAAGTTAATTAGATTTGCAGGCTTCCAGTTCTGCACGTCTGAGAAGGGGGAGGCAGTACCAGGCCCAGGAAAGGCCCTGTTCTGGTGAAACCAAGGCTTGGCTGGGAGCTGAGTCATTCTTCTAGAAACAACTTTAACTTGCTCCTATCAGATTTCCAACTGCAAGTTACACCACCTACAGGTGGTATCCCAAACCTAATTCCCTTCAGACAATGCTAACAAATCTCAATAGCTGTCATTCTGAAAGCACTGCATTAAGGATGTTGTTATGATGATTAAAAACATCATCAACCGGGATCACAAGCGGCTGTACGTCTCGGTGGGCAAGAGCTTAAGAAACCTGTAAGCCCTTTACTCCACGCCAATCCTACCGCGGTGGAGACCCCTGCCTCTGGCCACACATCCTCCACACCCACGTCCGACTGGGGCAGGTTGAGGCGAGCACACCTGGGCTGCTACTCCAGCATCCGAGTCCCACAAGCTTGTTTTCGGGGATCTTACACATTACCCCTAAATCTACCCTCCGAGCACAGCGACTAGAGGAGAATGAGGGGCAGTGGCGAAGACTAAGGTGGAAAGTCACAATCACCGAGCCCCAGGCAAGCTCAGCTACCATTGCTTCCCCGGCTCTGCGGCCGCCTCCGCCGGGCAAAAACAAAGCAAGCGAACGCAACCCCAGCCCTCCCCGGAAGCCGACCTGAAAAAGGAAAGGCGGGAAGGTGTCTAAAACAGCTCCTCAGCCACAGATAGTCCCAGGATCGTGGCCCAGAGAGAGAGGGAGAAAGAGAAAAAGACAGGATTAACTCACTGCTGCTCCAGATCATCAGCCATAGTAAACAAGCCCTGCCGGGTCAAGCAAAGCCAGCCCATCCCTCCTCCTGACGCCAGCACCAGCTGACCCAGAAAAGTCTCGGATAACAAAAGGGGCGTGGCCAGTGTTCCGCTCGTCGGGGGCGGGGCTACGGGCTCGGGGGCGGGGCTCCAGGCGCCGGGGTGGCTCTGGGTGGGGGCTGGGTAGCAGGTTGGCCTCTGATGGATGAAACTCGGCAAATTGGTTTGAGCTAGTGGGGCCCTTCTTACTAAGTTTTCGGGTATTGACATGTCATGTCCAGGCAGAAATGCCTCTGAGGGTCTTATAAAACAGGACAGCAATCCTGGTCACACCTCTAGGGGACAGTGAAGGAAGGTGGTAGTACTGAAAAACCCAAGTTCTTCACCCAGCTCCATCAGGACTTTGTTCTCTGATAATTAAAAAGTGACAGAACTACCCCAGCATGAGCTCATACATACTCTTCGGGCTTCCTGTTAGAGTTCTCCCCCTGAAATCTCCCCTGGTTAGTGTTCCTTCCAATCGGATGCTTAAAAGGTGTGTGTGTGTGCAGATAATACCATTGGTTGAATGTATGTACTTGCCAGATTTCAAAAATAAAACACAGGACACCTAATTACATTTAAATTTCAGATAAAACAATTTTTTAGAACAAGTATGTGCCATGCAATATTTGGGACATAATTGGACATCTGTATTTTATCTGACAATCCTGAACCTATGTGACATATGTCAAGAAGAGCATTCTTCTGCTCTGAGGTTGAGTCTGGCTCCAACCTAATTTACTGGGAAAATGTTGCTCAACTCTGGGTCTTCTTCAACGTGGAAGACCGCAGTTGAAGGACTAATGTAAAAGGCTGGGTCTGCTTTGGGTATGTGGGTGTGGGGACATGGGAACTAAGGTGACTGGCTGAGCTCAGAGGTCTTTAGTGCACTTCAGACTTGCTTGGCAGAGGAGTTAAATCTTGAGCCTGTATGTAGAACTTACTTGAACTAGTAAATAGTGCCTAATGACCCTGAAGCTGGCAGATTTTAGAACATCCCCTTGGTTAAGTTAAAACCAGGCTTGGGGGTTTAGGAGGATGGGTGGGAGAATGCTGGGGCAGAGGGATTTATCAAGGCATGTTTCTTTAGCCTTCCTGCTGGACCTAGTAGATTCTGAGATTCTTCCTTTTTGTAACACAGCATTAAGCTGATTATTATAAAGACTTAAAGTTTAAGAGAACTGGTATTTATAGTGAAGGGGTTTAGGAATTTGCAAGCTGTGAGGCACAGAGGTCCAAACAGCAGAGGACTTTTCCATTTATTCTTGCAATAAACCACAGTGGTCCTAAACTTCAGTGTGTCTAAGAATCGTCTGGAGGGCCTGTTAAACATTCAAATTTTAATCCCTACCCTCTGAGATTCTAATTGAACTGTTTTGGCTTGATGCTAGAAAGCTGCATTTTTAGGAAGCACTGCAGATTCTGGTGCTCAGGGAGACTCATTGCTTAATTAGAAGCATAAATTCTGGAGTCAGAAGTCTGTGTTAAGGTCAGTCTTTGCTTTGCCATTTACCCACTGTATGCCCTTGGACAGGTGATTTACTATCTCTTAATTTCTTCTCCTGGCTGCATCTTATGAGAATTAATCAAGATAATTCCAATAAACATTTAGTAAACTTTACTTGTGCTAAAAATGTTACCTATTGTTGCTGTTATTATTCTTCAAAGCCAAGCATTATGTTAAGCACTGAAAATACAATTATCGAAAGGAAAGAACGAACCTGCCATATCGGTAAACATAGACTTTCCATCTGTGCTACACTGTTCTTGCCTTTACAAAGCTGGCAACTTTGTATTCAGAGGTCAGCTCAAAGAAAGCCTTCTTTTCAGAGGACTTTCTTGACCATGGGGTCTAAAGAGATCACCATCATTTGATCATATTACCTTTTTTTTTTTTTTTTTTTGGAGATCACCATCATTAGATCATGTGATCACATTACCTTTTTTTTTTTTTTTTCACTCTGCTGCTTGGGCTAGAGCGCAATGGCACAATCATAGCTCACAGCAACCTCAAATTCCTGGGCTCAAGTGATCCTCCTGCCTCAGCCTGCCAAGTAGCTGGCACTAAAGGTGTGTGCTACCATACTTGGGTAATTTTTAAATTTTTTGTAGAGATGGGGTATTGCTCCTGTTCAGTTCAGGCTGGCCTTGAACTCCTGGCTTCAAGCAATCCTCCTGCCTTCCGCTGTCAAGGTAACATTACCCGGTTTTTCTTTTATTTCCTTACTTCCGACAGAGTCTCACTCTGTCACCCTGGGTAGAGTGCCAGGGTGTCATAGCTCACAGCAACCACAAACTCTTGGGCTTGAGCAATCCTCTTGCCTTCACCTCCCAAGTAGCTGGGACTGACTACTGGCATGTGCCCCCATGCCCAGCTAGTTTTTCTAATTTTAGTAGAGATGTGGTCTTGCTCTTGTTCAGGCTGCTCTTGAACTCTCGAGTCCAAGCAATCTACTTGCCTTGGCCTTCCAAAGTGCTAGGATTATAGGCATGAGCCACTGTGCCCAGCCTTATTTTTACTTTCTTCATAACATCTATCACTCTCTGAAATTATCTTGCATACATAGTATTTGTGGATTTATTATCAATCTACCCCATTAGCGAGTCAGTTTCATCGGAGACCTTGTCTGTCTTGTTCTCTACCTTGTTTCCAAAATATAGAACAGGTGTGGCACAGAGTAGGGGCTCAGTACTTGGTGCATAAATGAAAGGATGAAAAGTCTAGTGAAGAGGCAGAAGCACCAATAATTGCCGATAAAATAGTGTGCTAAATGTCAAAGAGTTTGGGAGCCATATTCTAAGTTATACCATAAAGGAAATTCCATGCTCCAAGACAGGACAATAAAATACCCCACTTTTCTGAAAACTTATAAGATGTAAGATAAAAACCTAAAAGATGTAGAAATTTGAGGACAGGATGACTGGGCTGGAACTGGTTTTAGATCTCTCTAGGTTAGGTTCTTTTTCAGGAGGAAGTGCAGAGAAGCTTTTGCATTTTGTTTTTATGCACCAAACCAGCTTTAAAGTAGAGGTTGCTTGGAAGCAGGACATTTGAATGTATGGAGAATGCATACTGAGATGTCTCAGAATAGGGCTGGATCTGACAGAGTTATAGTGGAAAGGCTCTCACTGTTTACTCTAGGCAGGCCTCTAGGGAGAAGATATAAGGTGCCTTTTTCTCCTTATCTTCAAGACAAGATATACTATGTGCAAGTTTTATGTGTGATTTATGCATGATTTAATTATTACTATGGTCTTCATAGGAAGAAACTGATTTGACAAACTCTCTTTCCTGTGCCTGTGAGTTATCATTAAATATCACAAAAGTAGGTGGAGCTGTTAAATTAACAGTTCAGGCCTGGCAGAGAGATCATTTTTTTTGTTTCAAATGGGTGTCATTGCCCCCACTCCCTTTTTTGAGACAGGGTGTTGCTCTGTTGCCCTGGCTGGAGTGCTTACTGCAACCTTAAAATCCTAGGCTAAAGTGATCCTTTTGCCTCAGCTTTCCAAGTAGCTGGGACTACAGGTTCATACCACCTCGATTAATTTTTCTAATTTTTTTTTTTTGTAGAAATGGGGTTCTCATTCTTGATCAGTCTGGCCTTGGACTACTGGCCTTAATCAATCCTCCCACTTTGGCCTCCCAAAGTACTAGAATTATTGGCATGAGCCACTGCAACCAGTAGAGAGTTCATTCATTGCCTTTTGAATGAACTATGAATAAAATGTGACTCTTGGACTAAACATAAGAATTGAGTGTAGCTCTAAAGTTGCTTTGTCCAATGGTAACCACCAGCCATAAGTGGCTACTTAAGATTTAAATTAAAAACCAAATAAATTCCCTATGTCACACTCACTATATTTTGGCCAGGGCTGGGTTTGAACCCACCACCTGCGGCATATGGGGCCAGCGCCCTATTCCTTTGAGCCCCAGGCACCACCCTACACTCACTGTATTTTAAGTGCTTAGTAGACACTTATGTGTAGTGGCTACCAGTGCAGAAGCAATGCAGAGATATTCTCATTATCACAGAAAATTCCACTGGAGAGGGTTGCTCAGGCATTGATGCTTTCAGCCCCATGTTGTGGGGAGTGTTTTGTCCTTGGAAAGGACAATATGGTAGATTCTCTTTCGGGTGCCAGGGAGAGGGCAATACTGAGACTTTTATGAGACTCCTCAAAGAGCTAGAAGGAAGGGAAATGGGCCACTGGAGCCTGCAAAGTTGTCCCATTTTCACAGAAACTGGAAGGATGAGGAGATATGGGTTCACTGAAGACACTTGCTGCTTTACTAGGACTTGGACCAGAAACTATAGAAATTAGACTTTGTGCTGTTTTCAACATGATTCCCCTTTCAAAATAATTGTCTATTTTATCTGTTCTATTAGAAAATAAGGAAAAGGGGGGAACAAAGTTTAAAAGATAGAGCAGTGATATCTAATAGTAGTGGAGAGAAACAGAAAGAGGAATCTTAAGGGAAAATAAAGAGACTCTCTTTTCCATGCAAAGATTTTCTTTAGAAGAGTCCTTTTCTATTCGAACTTTGGAGAATTTGTTTCTTTTTGTAAAGAATGTAATTTATTTCCTTTTCTTTTTTTGGTGAGTGGGGGGACAGAGTCTCACTATGTTGCCCTCAGTAGAGTGCCCTGGCATCACAGCTCTCAGCAACCTCAGACTCTTGGGCTTAAGTGATTCTCTTGCCTCAGACTCCCAAGTAGCTGGGACTACAGGTGCCTGCCATAACCCCTGGCTATTTTCTTGTTGTAGTTGTCATTGTTGATTGGCAGGACCAGCTAGGTTCAAATCCGCCAGCCCCAGTGTATGTGGCCGGTGCCCTAGCTGATGAGCTACAGACTTTGAGCTGTGATTTCTTATTGTAGAGAGAGGTGGTATAAAATGACGGACTTTGCCCCTATGGGAAGCTTCTTACCCCTGCACTCTCCCATTGTTTTATGATGTTCAATGTTTGGGTAATGAAACTCCTAAGATATGTTCAGACTTAAGCTTCAGCTTTCAAAATATATTTGCCTTTGAGAGCCATCTGAATTATAGTTCCTCCAGTGCCATCTTTTGCATGCCCCAAATAGTAGGAATCTGTAGTTTGGCCAATTTTTATTCAGAGAAATAGGAGGATCAGACATAGTTAAACATTTATTGAACTTTTATTGGGTCCTTGATGTTTAACATTATTTCATCTGACAATTATAACATTACTTGGGCGGCACCTGTGGCTCAAAGAAGTAGGGCGCTGGCCCCATATACTGGAGGTAGGAGGTTTAAACCTGGCCCTGGCCAAAAACTGCAAAAATACAAACAGAAAAAAATCATAACATTACACTGATCAATGAGAGTAAGTATTTTTATTTTCATTTTATAAAAAAAAAGAAAATGAGATTGTCACATTGAATAACTTATCTCAGATGAGACAACTAGTAAACAGCAGAATGAAGATTCAAACCTAGGTTGGCCTGACCGTAGTTGAGCCTGATACTATTGTGGACATGACTTTTTACATATATTAATGTTATGATTTCAACTAATTGAAACTGAGTGGTGCCCATAGCTCACTGAGTGGGGTGGTGGCCACATAAACTGAGGCTGGTGGGTTTGAACATGGCCTGGGCCAGCTAAAACAACAATGACAACTGCAACAACAACAAAAATAGCTGGGTGTTGTGGTGGGTGCCTATAGTCCCAGCTACTTGGGAGGCTGAGGCAAGAGAATCACTTAAGCCCAAGAGTTTGAGGTTGCTGTGAGCTGTGATGCCATGGCACTCTACCCAGGTCGACAGCTTGAGACTCTGTCTAAAAAAAAACCTAATTGAAACCAATACTAGTATTAGCAATTAAGTATTGACATTAGTTTAAAATGTTTTAATGATCATAGAATTATAAACTGAACACGGAGCAAAATCTTTTCTTGCTGTTTTAAGTAGTTTAGAAAGCTTTGGTTCATTATAGAGTGTGACTTTGCAGGTCTCAGAAAGGGATGTGTTCAATAAGCGAATCTGGTGTTTTTCATCTCTTCTGTTTCCCTTGTGTGAGAATTCCTATGGAGATGTTAATGATTATAGTTGACATGGATCAAAGGCATACAAAACATGAGGGAGAAACTACTGGAAGAAGCCTGGCAGATGGAACAGAAACAATATAAGGAATCCGCTTCAGAATGAGTAAAAAGTATCTGCTCAGCCTGTAAAGTTTGAGGTTGAATACTTGTGAGGAAGCTACCTTCCTACTTGTTGGTGAGGCAAGGAGAAAGTTTCAATTTGTCATTTCTTCCTTTCTTTTCTTCCCTTTCCCTCTTTCCTGCCTTCTCAACAATGGTAAGGGGGTTTAGGCTGAATTCAAGTTCATATAGAGGTACAAGTCTCCATGGGTATAAACATGAATTTATATGTTTGAATTGATTGTAAAACTTACTGACATTGGTTACTTCTTTCTAGAACCTAAGGAAGGCTTTGCTCACTACTGCTAATCAATACATTTATTAAAGCTCAAAGAGTTTCCAGTCTAGGCAGAAATAAAAAGTGAAAATGAAGGAACATTGTTGTTTACTTGCTAGTTCAGGAGTTTTGCTTGCATATATATCTAGGACAGTTCAAAGTTATTAAGAAGCTGAAAATTTACTTTCTGTAAACTCAGGGGAAAAAAGCTGACAATCAAGTGCCTGCTTATGTGCAGAAAGATCTGCCGCTGAAAGGTGGGATGAACTAGGTCTAGAAGAAATTAAAGGGCAAATAAAGCCAGGAGGTAGTTTTTTTTTTTTTAAGTTAAAACTTTAAAAAATAAATGACTAATCTCAACTCTTAAAATACAAAACCTCAAACATCCACTTGAAATCTTCTCCAAAATGAGTTGGAAAAGGTAAAGTTGAATCAGGCCTGCTTTTGCAGGCTTTTGGGCGCCGATATCCTGGGATATTACTATGCTAGATGCCAGCTTGTGGGGAGAAAGTTGCTAAACTTGATCATATACTCTAAGCATGATATTCGACAGTTATCTTTCTCTTCAACAGCTCTTTTAAGGTGGCACCTGTACCTGATTCACCTGAAAGGACCTTCAACTTAGCACAATATAAGGCACGAGTATGTTGCGCCGCAGGGCGAGAATCTACAGTTCCAGTCGAGGACCCCGTAAAGGTCAAGCACTCTTCTTCAACCCACGCCCCACACCCACTCTCCCCACTAAGTCTGAATTGGTGCCTGAGGTGATTGGTTGCGGTGGTTCCCAATGCGGAGAAAATTGACTTACTCTAATTATGTGACAGGCATCTGCAGACAGCGCCCTTAAGAGAATTAGGGCGGGGCTGGTATCAAACCCCGGGAACGCAGATCCCAAAAGTTAAATCTTTGAGGACGCGTGAGGACCAAAGACAGCCGGAACCTCCGGTTAGCTGCAAAACTTCTTCCCGCTTCCTCAGGCAGTATCTTGTTGCCAGAGCAACGATGAGCGTCACCAATCAGACCGCGGAAACGGAACAAAAAAAGGTACACGTCTCCAGTCCATTGATAAAACCATTGCGCAGACGCAATAACGGTTTCAGGAAGCCTGCGCATGCGCATTACCTGTCACGCGCGCCAGGGCCTGCTGTACGCTTGCGCAAAATTGGCACACTGTGGAGGGCGGAGCTGGGGCTTGACGACGCGCATGCGCAAACACCACATCCGGTGTGGTGGTCGGGTCCTCCGGGAGGTTGAGGCTCTGTGGTTGGAGTGGTCTGCGTGTAGTCATGTCGGCGTCGGTAGTGTCGGTCATCTCACGGTTCTTAGAAGAGTACTTGAGCTCCACTCCGCAGCGTCTGAAGTTGCTGGATGCGTACCTCCTGTATATACTGCTGACGGGGGCGCTGCAATTCGGTTACTGTCTCCTCGTGGGGACCTTCCCCTTCAACTCCTTCCTCTCGGGCTTCATCTCTTGTGTGGGGAGTTTCATCCTAGCGGGTAATGATTCTATAAGTAATCGCAATAGTAATGTGTCACTTTGGTGCGCTGCTTTTGTTTCCATACTACTCTTATTTTTTCCCCCATGTTCCCCCATTCACAATACAGACCAGACATGGGGCCTGGGCTGGGGTGTACATAGGTAGTTTTACTCTGCTGCCTCTTTCTATACCGTCAGTGTAAGAACATAGCCCGTGGTAAGCACCAGGAGGTATCATAGTACTCTTTTTTTTTTTTTTGGTGAGACGCCTCAAGCTGTCGCACTGGGTAGAGTGCGGTGGCGTCACAGCTTACAGCAACCTCCAACTTATGGGCTTAAGCGATTCTCTTGCCTCGGCCTCCCAAGTGGCTGGCACTACTGGCGCCCGCCACAACGCCCGGCTATTTTTTGGTTGTAGTTGTCATTGCTGTTTGGCAGGCCCGGGCTGCACTCGAGCCCCCCAGCTCTTGTGTATGTGACTGGCGCCTTAGCCACTTGAGCTACAGGCGCCGAGCCCATAGTACTCTTTTATAGCCACTACCGCCTGTGAAGTTATGAGAAGAACCTGCATTGCCTGCTTTTTGTAATGGGGAAATTGAGGCTCAGACAGATTAGGTATGTCTAATACCAAACGACTGTCTAGAAGCTAGAATTAAAAGTCTAAAGGAACCATCCTTATGCTGCTGCTCAACCAATGAGCCACTCTTCACTTCACATTGGTCCTGGGAAAACTCCATTCCAGCTTTCACATAGCTTTAACACAATTTTAAAGTTGGTAGTCTTTTAAGATGAAAAACCCAACTTTGGACTTGAATCATCTCTCTCACCTTGACCTAATGACTACTAATTTTCAGTGAAATGTTTCAATGAAAGTGTAAAGAATGCAAATATAGGTGTTTTGCTCGTTAAATCCTTCTTTATTTGTGTTTAGTTCTTAGCTGCTGCTACTTCTGTGGATAAAGCTGTTGTTTCACTATCCTGAACTCAATTTTTATTCATATAGTTAGTTCTCTTTTAGTTTTATATTTCTAATGATTCCAGGATAACCTTATAGACTGTCATAATGAAAACTGTCTTTATAAATTTTTGCCCAAATCTGACTTTTCTTGTCCAGCAGAGATTCAGTGAATACTGAAAACAGGATTGTCCCATTGAGTATTAGCTAATACAGTTTTTAGGTGGCCACCATGTAGGCCATTTCCATCACTGGTAACCTGATGCTTGACTTTGAAAACATAAGAATTCATGTTTTCTGTGTGTGTGATCATCAGACAGGCTACGCATTGCATTTTGAGTTGAATATGAGATATTATGGTAAAAGCTTTGGGAATACATCAGGCATATGTTTGTTCCTTGTCTTCAAAGAGTTTATAGTCTAGTTGGGGTACAGACAAAACACAGAATTATAATAGGATTGTCTGGAGACTTCATTTACAGTGGTGTTCTGCTTAAAGTTACAAATCTGTAGAATGCTTTTTACACGTTCACATTGCTAGTTCAGCACAAGAGATACTTCTACTTCTCAGAATTTAAAATAGGCCTAAGGACCTAATGACTTAGGTATGAACCTGGTCTGGAGTTACGGATTTAGGCTGTTGAATGGATATTTAATCATCATCTTTGAGTTTTGTCCTAGATGACCAAGACCTGGTCCTTTGTGGCAGCTTCTGAGTCTTCAGGATATGTCACCATCATCAGACTAAATACATTATGTTCTTTGCTCTGTGTATTCTCCAGTCTCCCAGCACCCCTGTCCTCTGCTCTAGTATGTGGCTAGGAATTGTGTTAGCTAGCCAGGAGAAGAAACCCTAATCAGAGGGAACTTTTTTTTTTGAGACAGTCTCACTGTATGTTGCCCTTGGTAGAGTGCCATGGAGTCACTCACAACAATCTCCAACTCTTGGGCTTAAGTGATTCTCTTGCCTCAGCCTCCCAAATAGCTGGGATTATAGGTGCCCGCCACACGGTTACTTTTTGGTTGTAGTTGTCATTGTTTGGCGAGCCTGGCTGGCCGAACCCGCCAGCTCTGGTGCCCTGGCTACTGAGCTATAGGCACTAAGCCCAGAAGGAACTTTTGATTAATTTTGTTTGATATTTTTGTCTCCAGGTCTGGAAGACTAGGAACAGGGCAAGTCCTGAAAGCTGATTTTACAAAAAGAAGCCTTCTCTATGCCAAAGTCACCCTGACGTTTCACAGTTAGAAGTTACATCAGGGCTACATGGAAGAATGTGGTTTGCTTAAGAGTGGACATGGACTAGAGTTATAGGTTATTTGTTTGGTAAAGCCAAGAGGTTTCCGAGATGACTTTTGCTTATATCAAGTACTGTTTTTGAGCCTGTTGTGGCTAAAATTGAATTGGCAGACCCCTTTCCCTCCTCTCCAGTGGAAAAGGCTTATCATTGAAGAGAATGCCTAATAAAAGGGCATATTAATAATGGGGTCAATATGGGGGATTGAGATTTCCATAGCTATTAGATAACAAATAGTAGAGCTAGAGAAATGAATGGTTTCAGGAACAGAAGGGATTTATGACAATTCATAGTTGTCAGAGAAGAATATGATTTGCATTTGTTTCTTTTGATAGCATTGACTTTACTAAATCCTGCCTCCTCTGCCGTTTGTTTGCTTAGATCAGTGTTTTTCAACATTTTTTTAATCTCACTCCACGCTTAAACCTATTGTTAAACTTCCGTAGCACACTTCAGTTATGTTGATCATAACAAAGAATAAAAAAAGAATATACTTAACTGTGCTGTGAACTGCTTTCAAAAATAATTAATGTTTAAAAAAATTTTCATGGAACATCAGTCTGCTGTTGATACTGGATTTTTGATACCGGGTTTCCAGGATCTTGGTCTCAACAATTCGATGAATGAATTGATGGACCACAGGATGGACAGTAAATTAGGTTTTATATACAGAGGTATTATTACAGCTCTTACAAAGAGCCAAACCTTGCAGAGCAGGATAAGATAGGTTTTATATAAGTGTCATAGCTCTTACAAAGAGCCAAACCTCCTTGCAGGGCAGGATGCAAATGTTACAGCTCTTACAAAGAGCTAAACCTCCTTGCAGAGCAGGATGCAAGTGTTACAGCTCTTAGAAAGAGCCAAACCTCCTTGCAGAGCAGGATCCAAGTGTTCTCTCTTCCTCTTCTGCTCTCTCTCCCTCAGCTCTCTGCGGTCTTTGCTCTCCTGTTCTCTCTTCCTGGAAGGTCAGCGAAGATCTGCCCCTAGGCTTTTTACTCAGGGGTTTATATAGGGGCAGTTGGCCAATGAGCTGAAAGCTGAGCTGATTGGTCTAGTTTCTCCTAAAAATAGACCAATCAAGAGCAGGATTGAAAATGGACCAATCAGGGATGCACTGGAGGAATGGCCAGTGTTTTCCCCTGCTCAATCAGGTTCCTTTGGCTACTGGAGCCTCCAATTGGAGAGGGAAGCTCCCATAGGCTTGCTCCAACCTGCCGGTTCCTCTGCCAGCTGCTGCCACCAAAATAGAGGTGGCAGGTCCCCCAGCCCCACTTGGCTGAGCTGGCTGGGGCGCCACTTTTCTGGTATCACTGTGACACACTGGTTGAAAATCACTGGCTTAGATCATCAACTGGAAACTTTTTTTTTTTTTTTGAGATAGGGTCTCCCTCTGTTGCCCCGGCTAGAGTGCAATGGCTGGCATCACCATAGTTCTTTGTGGCCTCAAACTCTTGGGGTTAAGTGATTCTCCTCAGCCTCCTGAGTAGCTGGGTGCACCACTATCCCTGGCTAATTTTTTCTATTTTTTGTAGAGATGGGGGTCTTGCTCCTATTCAGGCTGATCTCTAACTCCTGATTTCATGCGGTTCTCTCACCTCAGTCTCTCAAAGTGCTATGGTTATAGGAGGGAGCTACTCCTCCAGGGTTAGAGACTGGATTTAATGGGAAATTTGGATGTTTATTCTTTGTTATGATTGTTGGGAAAGGAAGCCTTGTACCTGTTTAGGCTACTGGGGTTTCTAACTTCCCTGTGATGTGTTAACCGTTGAAAGAGAATGGAGGAGGTCAGTTTGGCCATGCCTTAAACTTTTTTTTTTTTTAAGGAAGGAAGAGGACTAGTGGCTCACTCCTGTAATCCCAGCACTTTGGGAGTCTGAGGAGGGAGGATCCCTTGAGATTAAAAGTTGTAGACTAGCCTGGGCAACATTAAAAAAAAAAAAATAGCCAGGTATAGTGGCATGTTTCTGTAGTTCTAGCTACTTGGGAGGCTGAAGCAAGAGAATCACTTGAGCCCAGGAGTTCGAGGCTATGGTGAGCTGTGATTGTACTGCTGCAAGCCAGCTTGGGGGGCAATGGTTTGAGAGACCAAGACCCTGTCAAAAAAAAAAAAAAAAAAAACCAGAAAGGAAGAGACTGAAAATAGTAGTTAGTATGTAAGATGAATTGGAGAGAAACATTCCTTAATCTCTTCTAATTTCTTTTTGGCAGTTTATTCTCTTTCATTGCCTCTGCATATATTAATTTAGCGTATGTTCTTGAAAATGGTCTGTTTTTTTTTTTGTTCCCTCATAGCTGGGAGACTTAACCATAGTTTGAAGAAGGAGCCAGCGAAAATTGCCATTCAGAGATCTTTTTTAGAGCAACAGAGTGTTGTACATGAGCTTATGAGCTTTAAAAGGACCTCAGAGAAGGAATATTTTCTTCTTTCAGACAGATTTTAAACATCCCCAGCAGCTGACTGTTTATCTTGTGGTTAGATATCTGTAGAGGAGGACACCTGTTCCCTTTTTAGAGTAACATTTCAGTGTTGGCAATCCTTTTAGTTTCCTTTTTTTTTCACCTAACTGAAATCTGTGCTCACTTAGGAGGGAAATCTGTGTTTTTTAGGAGAGATAAGTGGAAAACATTAAGACCATCCTTAAAATAAGTCTTTGCTCTTCAAATCAGTTTTCAAATCATTTTACAACTTTGGGCTATTCTGTCTATTCTGTTCTCTAAGCTATATGAAACAATTTCAGCTTTTTTTTTTTTTAAATAGTTTTTTTCTCTC